AAGATATCTACTGTGAAGTAATTATTAATTCACTAACTATGACTGAGTTTGTAAGAATGAAATAAAGAGACTGACCAGAATGTAAATACAATGAACAATCATTATTAAATAATGCAAACACAGTGTTTGTGTCTACTTAGATGCTGGACTGCATTTTTACTGGGTTTGAGTTGTTCTTTCTCCAAACTGCACTTGTTACAAATTTTTAGCAGACTGTTTGTATGTAACACTCTTTATTTAATAGGTAATATTGGATTTACCCAGAGCATCTAGTGATACCCATATGACTGATCGTTCTCATTCAAACAATAGCAGAACAGTCTTATCTTCAGAGACTAACAAAACAACAAAATAATCTAAAATTAAATCAACTTAATGGCTTTCTTGATCATGTGTTTAGAGCAAACTGCACACGGAATAACTGATTAATTCCAAAAACTACTTCAAAATAAAAAGGTAGAAAACATAATATGTTTATGTACCACAGTGATATAATAAATACTATAATGGGGTTAATCCTCCAGTTTCATCCAGGATCAAATAAAAATGTTCATGGATCTCTATTGTCAAATGCAGTTGCCATGTGATGTATCTAGTTTTCATACAGCTGTAAAAAACTCCCAAACAGTCTTAAATACCTTCCAAGAGGCATGTAGAACCATTTTAACTGAAACAGGGTAGAGATTGTGAGAGCACAAACCTTTATCTTCTAAATATGGGAAGCCATTAACACTGATATTTCCTAATGAACTATTTTCAGATTAAAATTTAGTACAGGCTAGAGGGGACTAATAAGCTGTAACATGCATGTTTCACTTCCGGTCTCTGAAACGAGGTGAAAAAATAATAAGTAAAACTGAGTACTTTCAAAATATTTAATCATCATGTTTGAAAACATCAAATCATAACGAAATAAAACACTGGGTGCACAAAGGCACCGAACTATTGTTGCTCCACCAAGTTGGAACTCTGTGCAAGTGCACCAGTCAAGCTGCCCTTGGTAAGGGCCTGGTGAGCTTACCTGTTACTCTTATCTTTTCAATGAAAATGCATTGCCTACAAAGTATTTCAGTGTTTATACTGATAATATTCTCCTACTGGCATCAATGAAAACTTTAGGTGCACTGTATCTTCTAATATTGTTTTACAGGTCAGTAATCACAGTTTATTTCACATCTCAAAACCTTAACATCCAGATCAAATTCTTTACTCTGATTTGCTTGTCAGTTGTGATCACAGTTTAACTGATTCAATTATGTTATTAACGCTTATGAATGACATTGTGCAATGTCCACATACACGTGTAACACCACACATGTTTATTCACAGACATATTCTTACCATAAATATCTATCATCACCATCACATACACTAGTAGCTTTAGACAAGAGACTATAAGCACAAATAATAACCTTAGCTGAAATTATTTTAGCTGAAAAGTCTTAGTTCAGCTGAATTCTGCTGGTGATTATCTATTTCGTGATACCAAAAGGCTGGTGTTACATTTAGTGGCTCGTAGAGGACAGTGTATTAGGAAACTACAGCTTTTGGGACATAAATTATTTGTGCAGGTTGCAATGGTAAAGTCACGTGAGATGGAAACAATATAGTATATCATCAAATATACGCATGTTTGGCAAAAGGCCAGCTGATTTCTTTTTGTTGCACCAATGTTAACTCTTTCTGGACCAACAGGGTGAGATCGTACCCCTTCCCCTATTTGCTTTGTTCTTACACTCAAAATGTTTAACCTAATTCCATAAACTTGGAACACATTTTCTACATAATACCAAGTCCATGTTTGAAAAAAAAAATGTTTGATATTTCTATATTTCAGCTTGTGAATTTTCAGATATGCTATTGTCTAAGGTTTTTAAGAAAAATATTGTCTTTCATTGTACAGTTTCTGTTATTGTTTGTATAAAACGATCGTTGTTTTACCTGTGTTGTTCTAATAATGGAATATCCATTTTTTTGTCTTTTTATATATACATTTTTACATACAATAAAAGTAACTATTAAAAAATATGAAAGAATTAAAACTGGATTCCTTTTAATATTGTTGATCTGGCTTATTTACTGTTACCTATTTAAGTAGTTATGAAGACATGAAAATAATATAAAACAAGATGAACAGTAAAAGCACTGACAGAGACAAAAATTACACTCCTATCCTTGGCTCACACTGATATGGGCAATATTTTTGATGAAGCTCAATTTCTCACTAATAATCGTTTGTTTTTAGTAACTAAGAAGTCCTTGTACTTGAATATGTTATTGGAATAACAATGACTTTACTAATATACACAGATGAAAAAGCTTTTGTATCATATGAACTTTTGCCATCACAGAACTTCTACTTTACCATACTCACTGACCCTAAATATTCTTGTCTGATATATTCTTATGAAATAATATTCATGTAGTTTTCAAGCACATAACCAAAAAGATCATCAAAAGAAACTAAAAACAAAATTTCCAGATTTGAGGCTTGTTACTAAGTTTCGTAAACTTCACATTACAATTCTTCGTGCTCCACTATGACAACTTCTGCTAGTCATTTTCTCAAAAAACACTTGCTGTGACATCATAAAAGCCTTTTCACACAGAAAAGACAGATGAGAAACATAACCTGGATAAATCTATTTCTAAGGGATTACAGGTTGAGTAAATACAAACTTATACTTTGGATTGGGCAGAAATATTCTAAAAAATCTATGAGTGTTGTACTACACATAGATCACGCGTTAAAAAACTAATTTTCTTTGCAAGTTACATTAGATGAAGTTTTCAAGTTATAAAATATCAATTATTAATTATTTCTAGCAAAAATTGTTGAAATAGAGTTATAACCATTAACTTGTGAAATTTGATACACAAGTGTGCATTCATGCATTCAACACCAGAAATCTGTTCTCAGATCATAATAGGGTTAAGAAGCTTCACAAGCATATGCCTGATAGTTTGTAGTACTCATTCTCCTAACACATTAGATTGTGGTTGATAAGGAAAAGTGTGCATCTTTATCACACCCAACATTTTACTCAACTCAGAGAATATTTTACTACTAAAATTAGCTACTTGATCTGTATGAATTTTTCCAGAAGCACAGAATCCACTATTTACCAAATATAAGTAACTGACTGTTCTAAAATAATGATTAATGTTCCACTTAGCAACGTAACCAAAAAATGACCAATATATATCAATTACCTTGTTTAGTTTCCAAGAGAAGGCCACCTATATCTGGATCTATTCTCTGTTAAGAAGAACCAACAATTCTATGATGGAGTTTACCCTGTGTAGGCCCTCTAGGCAAAGCATACTGTACTGTGTTTGCACCATAACTGCTAAGTGTATCGAGTCGAATACAATCAGTGAAACTACCATCACCTGTTAGTTTACATGCATGTAACACTTTGATGGTTTCTAGTCTTTGTATTATGTAGACTCTGAATAATTTCAAACCTATGAGCTTTATGAGGTATATGTGCATCCAGTATGTGAGTACAGGAATGGGTAATGCAGATTTTCCTCTCATCCCAAATGCTCCATAATTTCTAATTTTTTCTATCCCTACAATTTTAGAATAAATTTTGTTTACTAATAATATTAGTATTCCAACCACACTATATTCCCCATATCTATTGCTGACAATGCATTTTGCTCAATTCAGAGCTCTTCAGGCTGGCTGGGATACAACAGAGTAGTGGTCAGAACACTATTTATATAAACCATTTGTTACAATAACAACTGAAGCTACTTACAAGCTGGCAAAGCATGATCATAATTATACTTGTCATAAGGCTTTAGTATTTGGCTTAATATATTTTGAAGCAGTAAATTCTTTTTCTAGTCCATTAGGGATTTCCAAGAATTAGAAGGGAGTATAATAATAGTATTTCAATGGCTCTCCTATAATTCTTGAAAATCCCTAACGGACTAGGTAAAGAATGTAGTGTTTAACAATATAACAGGCCTAATACTAACATCTTATGACAAGTATATTATAATCATGCTTTGCTAGCTTGTAAAATGCACACATACAACAATACAATTATGAGTGTTATGTGTTAATGTAGTGTTATGTATCTACGTAAGTCACCTTTAATTCTTCAAGATGTGGTATAAAAAAGTGTTCAGCATTCATGTATATCATCCTTAGTAACATTAGTTAAAAGAATAAGTATTCATATTTATACTTTAACTGTAGAGTGGTATGTATTAAACTGTATAATTATAATTTACATGAGGTGGGTAAAGTGCACAGTGAAGAAGGTTTCATTTGCACCAGTCCTCATTCCTCACAGTAGTGCACAGTTTAGTCATATGAATAATAACTGACAAAAGTATTTTATAAATACATAAAACTACCTTACAAACCATATACATGCAGCTGGTACTTTTAGAAGTATACCAGATACAACAGTACAATTATGAGTGTTATGTGTTAATGTAGTGTTGTATACCAGACATAACAGTCTTTTCCTTGTAGATTAGGTAATATTGGAAATGCTATTCTGAGGAGTTTCTCTCTAGTCTTATTCATGTGCTAATCATTAGCTCTATCCACATGCTAATTAGTAGTTGTATTCATGTGATAATTATTTCTATACACTAAAACTTAGGGATCGAACTTGGTCAATAAATTGTCTTTCATGAAAATGCATGCTTACTCACTGCCAACTGTTTACTAGCAGTGATAATTTTTCCGTGTTTACTGATTTTTACAGTGTAACAGTATTTTGTCATTATTTTTGAAAGAAGTTTCTCTTGATCAGAGGTTATATAAAAGAATAAGGAATTTAATTATTTTTTTTCTGCCTGGAAGTAGACATACTTCAGCTAATATTTTTTTAAGAAACAATTTCAGTTTGGAAACATTTTATGTACATTTTCTAACTCGATAATGGTCCCTATATGGGAAGTAGTAAAAAATGATTCTGGATTTTAGGAAAATTAGTTTTAGTTATTAATTAATTGGATTGTAAAATTAAACATGGTTTTATATGGTTTTTAATACCTTCAACAAGAATACAGCTGACTGGTAAAATTCCAAAATGGTTCTAGTTCTCTTGTACACACACCTTCATATTTCACAGAAAGTCAAAGTCTTTGTGAACATCTGAAACAGAGCTACTACAGTGATAAGTTATTGGATTACTTTCATAAACAGACTAACTCGTCAACATTTAAAATTTGGAATATAAATGTCCAAGTTCAACAGCTTTAACTTAATCATGGTCTAACTGACTAAATAAAAATAGAAAGATATTTATGAATTAACAGTTCATTTATTTAAAAAAAAGCTTTATATGAATCAGCAGTATTAAATAATATTATAATCTATTTTACACAGTCTTTAACTGATCTAACCACCATTACCATTCTAAATGATATATTCAGCTTATCGTAGGAAGAGTTTGTCTAATTACAAAAAAATGGTTTCTAGGTGCAATGATACTTACTATGTTACAATATAGAAAGAAAAACAAGCTGGCTGGAGGCTCTGAGTTTACTTTTTTTTACTAAAAATTTTAATCAACAGAATATAACTGTCATTAAATAATTACTACTTATCAATGGCATAGATATTTAAGCCTATTGACAAATAACTTTTGAAATCATGGGATAGAATGAGCATAACACCTACCAAAAATAAAAAAATTGTATGAAAAAAACCTGGTTACAGGTAAAAAAAAAAATAAATAAATAAAATTATGCTATGTTTCACCTAGGAAACATTTATTGTATTTTAATCCTGTGCTTTTTCCATATTTAGCTGTTTGAATATAATTATTTATTCTAAATTTTAGTATGGCTTCATTATATTTACCTATTACAAACTGTATATTTCTTAGGTCATTTGTACAAAAATATTTTTTACTGAAAGTCATAGTGTTAAACACAAAGACAATGAACATGTTTCAAGTACTTGTTTTCCCACATGATGATTGAAAATTATGCAAAGTTGATTCCTACAGGGCAGAACATACAAAACATTTTTAGAAGTAGTTGTTGAAAGTCCAGAAAACTTTATATTCTAGATGGTTTGTACATATCTTCTTACAACAGATACATCAAGAAAACATAACTCTGTAAGTGTTGTCCTTCAGACTGGACAGGACGATCACAAGGTTTCTAAAAGAAAACAAAATTATTTTCATATTACTTTAAAAAAAAAAAAACAGTCAATTTTTTTTTCTTGAAAAAGCTAATTTTTTCAGCATAAAG